AACCTTCTGACTCTCAAAGATCATCCAAATTCTGGGATCTTTGCTTTGTGATTGTTATTATTGAGATTCTTCGTTTCGGGTTCGATCAAACAGGTAAATTGTTCGATTTCGTGTTTCTGTTCTTCGATTTTGTTGATTTGAAGTTGATATTGCGATTGATTTGTACATAAAGTGTCTAACAATTTATATGATTTAAAGCCACAAAATAGAAAAGGGGCAAAAAAGGAGATGTTCTCTTTCGTGATAGTTGTGTAGAATTTTCATTGCATTGTTTGATTATAAAGGACGATTCTTTTCTTATTTGAGTATATTGGCACTTGTTTCATTAGCTTTTAAGTAAATATTTGTCTACCAAAGTGAAAAAGGAAAAGAAGAAAAGTGTTTTTGGGTCTTTTGAAACATTTAGTATATAACTTGTTTCTGTTTTTTTTTCTTTCTCATATATGCAAAGCTTGATTGTTTTTGTTTTATATAATCAATACTTTACTTATCAGATCCGGCAAGTTTGATTCAGCTGTGACAAGAAAGCATGAGTAACTCTGTAGTGCATAACTTACTTAACCGGGGTCTGATTCGTCCTGTCAATTTCGAACATCAAAACAAGCTCAACTCCTCTTGCGCTGTTTCTGTTTACCAAACCTCAGCGGTAAATCCGGCTGTGGGGAACATTGGCAGATCAAATCTGGGAACAAAGCTATATGGTAAAGGTTTAAAAAAGGCAGGACGGAAGCTGATCACTGAAACAGGAAGATCTGTCTCATTTGTTCCACGAGCTGTGCTTGCCATGGATCCTGCTTCTCAGGTAAATTTGTTTTTTTTTAATGGAGATCATTTTCCATTGTTTGGAATGTGTTATTTGGTTGCAACTACTCAATTTTAGTTAGATGTTTGATGTCGGAAAACTTGTCATGGTCCTGATGATATGCAGTTCTGTGCTGAATGAAAGTTTTGCCTGCTTGTTTGACATGATTTTTCCCTTAGAAACTAAGGAAGTAACTGCAATAACAGATGTTTAAATGTTCATGAAACGTGTAGTGCTATTACATAGCTCTTGCAATTGAATGCATAAGATGGTTATCATATCGATATGTGCTAAAAAATTTCATCCTTGGACAGGCGGCCGAGAAGTTTAAACTTGATGGAAATATTGACTTACTGGTAAGTGTAGCCTTACAAAACGGGTATTTTCTTGTTATGATCTGTAGCCGTAATATTTATGTGATGGTAAGTTTTATGCTTTTAAATGAATAGGTTGAATTCACTTCTACAACTGTAAGAGAAGTAAATATCCAGATAGCTCATACAAGTGACTCTTTGCTTCTACACTGGGGTGCAATACGTGACAACAAAGAGTATGTCCTTATCAAATGATGTTCAACTTGCCTAGTTAATAGGTTTCTTCAAGCTTATTATGGCACATGGCTTTACTATTTTTCTTTCTTATTTTCTGTGTCAGAAAATGGGTTCTACCTTCTCGCTCTCCGGATAGAACTATAAACTACAAGAACAGAGCGTTTAGAACTCCATTTGTTAAAGTGAGTTTTAAATTCATTCCTCGACATACATTACATTGCTACTTGTGATCGTATGATTTCCAGCTGATATCAGTGTAACTTAAGATTTCCTAATGGTGGTTTTGGGCTCTCATTTACAGTCCGGTGCCAATTCTTACCTTAAACTAGAGATAGATGATCATGCCATACAGGCTATTGAGTTTCTTATATTTGACGAAAGTCGGAACAAATGGTGAGCTTGTTTGCTCTTCTTTTTACTATCTAAACCAGAACATAGAGCTACTTTTTTTTTTAAATTATTGTCGTTTCTCATATTCTTAACATATGCAGGTACAAAAATAATGGTCAAAATTTTCGTATAAACTTACGCATGGGAAAGAATGTAGAACACAATGTCTCTGTTCCTGAAGATCTTGTACAGATCCAAGCATATCTTAGATGGGAACGTAATGGTAAACAAATGTACAGCCCTGAGAAAGAGAAGGTACGTCAGACGTCGTACCTATACAAGCATATCAAGGATATTTTTCTTTGATATCTTTTTGAATTCTTCACCTTTTATGTTGTTCTGGCATTCACATAAAGAAGAATCATCATTCTCACCAGGCAATTAGTTGAGTTCATCACCGGCACAAATTTCCACCATTTTCTGGTATATTTGACTGATCAGCAAATGAATGATGGTTAGCTAAGTTGAAAATTCTCTTGATTGAGTTTTGCTAATAGCGTTTTAAAGTTTGTACGGGTGTTCTTGGATCATAAATGAAAAAAAAAATTGGATTATACTAAGATAATAACACTTGAATAAGATTGGCTGGTGTCATGGAATATATATTTGGTTGCTTTATCTGGTAGACCTGTATAAATCTCAGTTGCATTAGTCTCTGGTCAATAGGAGGAGTATGAAGCCGCCCGTATGGAGCTACGGGAGGAAATGATGCGAGGTGCTTCAGTGGAAGATCTCCGAGCAAAGCTGTTGAAGAAAGATAACACCAGTGACTCTCCGAAATCTAAGGAGACTTCATCCAGTGGACAGGAGGCACCGAAAAAAGTTTCCAAGCAACAGAAGGATAAAAAACATTTCAGAACTGAGAAGATCCAGCGGCAGGGAAGGGACCTGAATAAGCTTATCTGTAAGCACGTTGCTGATTCTGTTGAACCAAAATCCAAAGTCTCAAATGAACCACGGGCCTTAACAACTCTCGAGATGTACTCCAAAGCAAAGGAGGAACAAGAAACCACTCCAATTTTTAGCAAGAAAACATTCAAGCTTGAAGGCAGCTCGATTTTGGTCAGTTGGAAATATCTATCTTGCTCTCTTTTCTATTTCTATTCGGTTTAGATATACATCCGACATGTATCTCTAATCTCTATTTAGGTTCTTGTCACTAAACTTTCGGGAAAGACAAAAATACATCTGGCAACGGATTTTAAAGAGCCGATTACCCTTCACTGGGCTTTGTCTCAAAAGGGTGGAGAGTGGTTGGTAAGATTTATCTTTTTTATTTCTCAAACAAGAGCATACTTTTGAGATTAATCGCTTTTCTGGTTTGGTCTTTTTTGTCTGAGTTTATGAGTCATTGACACTGCAGGATCCACCTTCAGATATACTGCCACCAAACTCTTTGCCCGTACGTGGCGCTGTTGACACACAACTGACCATTGTTTCCACAGATCTTCCTAGTCCGGTATGACTAATTTAATCTATTATATCCTAATAGCATTTGGATCGAGAGATGGTATGTTAATTGCCTCATGTTAACCAAAATGTAGGTTCAAACTTTTGAGCTGGAAATAGAAGGCGACAGTTACAAGGGCATGCCATTTGTACTCAATGTTGGGGAAAGGTGGATTAAAAATAATAACAGTGACTTTTATGTGGACTTTGCTCAAGAAGAAAAACATGTTCAGAAGGTTCCTCTTCCTTCTTGGTCTTCTGAAAAGCATTTTCAGTTGCGTCCTATTGTCCCTTAGTTAACATTTTACTTGTTCCATTTGAAAGGATTATGGTGATGGAAAAGGTACAGCCAAGCATTTACTGGATAGAATCGCAGATTTGGAGAGCGAGGCCCAGAAGTCTTTCATGCATCGGTCAGTTTTATGCTCAAGCATTCTGGTTGTTATTTTTGTGTTTTTAGACTTGAAGAAGCTTAACTGGCATTCCTTTTGTCAAAAACATTTGCTACTTAAAGTCCCGTGTTTTGTTAGTTTTCTAGGGTCATCACTTTTCAATTTTTTTTCGGAAGAGATTGATATAAAATTCTATAACTGACAGTCATTGATACATATACGATGATCACTAATCCAGTTATTGATCCATGTTCCATGATAACTAAATTTATATTCTCAATCATACATCTCTGTTGTGCATGAAATTATTTGAAAATTCCATAAAATACTCTGAATTTATGAAGGGGTACAACTTGCTTTTTGTATTTTTAGATTCAACATTGCAGCAGACCTTATGGACGAGGCAAAAAGGGCTGGTCAACTGGGCTTTGCAGGGATCCTAGTATGGATGAGGTTTATGGCTACAAGACAGCTTGTGTGGAACAAAAACTATAATGTTAAGCCAAGGTACAGTTTAGAAGAATGTGATATTAATTGAAAGTTTAGATTCTGTTCACGTTTCTTATTCAGCCCCCAAGGGAAAAATGAGCAAACCTTATAGGAGTCTTCTAATTTGTTCTGACATCTACAAATGATACCTTCATTTACAGCATTGTTCCAGTAAATTACACAACTCACTACTTTATTGCAGGGAGATAAGCAAAGCGCAGGATAGGCTGACTGACGTTCTTCAGGAAGTTTATGCAAGTTATCCAGAGTACAGAGAAATTGTGCGGATGATAATGTCTACTGTTGGTCGAGGCGGTGAAGGAGATGTTGGGCAACGAATCCGAGATGAAATTCTAGTCATCCAGGTTGGTCTTTAGATTTCTTTATCTTTTCAAAAATATATTACTACTGAATGAATAATGAAGGAAATAAGATGAAAGCTCTACATGAATAAATCCTTAAAGTCCAGGGTTGTGTTTGCCATGCCCATCTGGCTTATCAAGATGGGATGGGATGCCCTCATTAGCCCGGTCAAGTATCCTTAATATTTATTTAGGATTGTGTTTGCAACTTTTATATTTATTTGGAAATATGATGAGTGAACTTCTGGCTTGCAGAGGAAAAATGACTGCAAGGGTGGAATCATGGAGGAATGGCATCAGAAATTGCATAACAACACTAGTCCAGATGATGTTGTCATCTGTCAGGTATTTGAACTTTTACCCTAATAAAAAAAAAAATGGTTCGTTATTCCGTTTCCAATCTTAATCTGTCTCTTGACACTTTTCTTGTTGTAGGCATTGATGGATTATGTCAAAAGTGATTTTGACATGAGTGTTTACTGGAAGACCTTGAACGACAATGGCATAACCAAAGAGCGACTCTTAAGTTATGATCGTGCCATACATTCTGAACCAAGTTTTAGAAGAGAACAAAAAGATGGTCTTCTGCGTGATCTTGGACACTACATGAGGACTTTAAAGGTTACCTCTCCAAGTTTACTTTAGCTACTTTTTACGAATCTAGCTACTCCTTTCTTCTTCAAAACTTGGTCTGATTTCCTGTTTTTGATAAGGGAAACCATGTAATTTGTTTATTTTGTTCAGGCTGTTCATTCGGGGGCAGACCTTGAGTCGGCTATACAAAATTGCATGGGATACCAAGATGACGTAATGCCAGTATACTGAAAAGTTACAGTTAATGATTCTTCTTGAAATTGGCAACTGAATATTGGTGTTGTTCTTCAGGGTGAGGGTTTCATGGTTGGGGTGCAGATAAATCCTGTATCAGGATTGCCTTCTGGATATCCAGTACCTTTCTTCCTATCTTCCTTACTAATTTTAAGAATTTAATACGCCTATCAAATCAGTACAATTTACACTGTGTTGGCACTCCCCTCAACAGGACTTGCTTCGTTTCGTCCTAGAACATGTTGAAGAAAAGAATGTAGAGCCACTTCTTGAGGTGCTACGCTTTCCCATTTGCTTAAACGATTTTATTCATACTATTAATTTGACCTCTTTGAACAGTATCGTATGCTTACCATGAGATGGAATATTGATGTAGGGTTTGCTTGAAGCACGTCAAGAGCTTAGGCCACTTCTGCTGAAGTCCCACGACCGCCTCAAGGACCTATTATTCTTGGACCTAGCTCTCGATTCTACTGTTAGAACAGTTATTGAAAGAGGATATGAGCAATTAAACGATGCTGGACCTGAGGTTAGTGAATTCATTCATCGTCATGATAAATTGTTCTTGAACATCATGTGTCAACAGTTTCATATTC